TTATTGGGGGAAATAGGCTCTCATTTTGGCTAAATCATGAGTATGTTTCTATGAAAGAAATTCCCTATGCTATAAGGAAAGAGAGGACGAAGCTTTCTTCTTATGTACATTGTTTGTGGAAGAATTCCATAATTAGTAAAAAAAGGTGGAATAATAATCCCTTCCAATGCTGGAAAATTTTCGTGCGAAGTTGATCAAAGGAACTAAAGCGAAGTTTAAGGAATCGCATTTATTTTCTGAAACAAGCAGTGTTGAAAGTTTTAAAATTATATTTAGCTATTCTGTGGAGTTTTTTGCACGAAATGCAGTAAAAAAGTTTTGTCGCGTTTTGTTTAAACCTCACCACTGATATTGCACATAACTAAACCTTGCCATATATGCTACCGCGAAGGGGAATTAAATAAGGCCTTCTTGTATGTCAGTCAGGTATAAATATACCTTTTTGTAAACAATAGGTTCCGCTCAAGCATTATTTTGAAACGGAGCAGACAGAAGAATAATAAGTATTTCAAAAACGGTCATATAAGTGGCCTGTTTTTTCTGCATTCGCAAGTGTATTACGGATCTTGGAATAAATCCCCTTAAGCGAAAAATAATCCGTTATAAAGAGAAAGGTATGTTCTGTCATCTCCAGTCAAATTTAATCGTTTTTCTTCAGATAAATTAAAGAAATTGTCAAAACTCCCCAATTGCCCTGTGAGATTACCTTGGAAAAAGTTCATATACGCAGCTAAAAATTATCCAATAAAAGCACTTTTTAAAGAGGTAACCTATTATGGAAACTTTTTTATTAATCTTAGGAATTTTAAAGAGGTAACCTATTATGGAAACTTTTTTATTAATCTTAGGAATAACGATATCTTAGGAATAACAATATTCGTGGTATCTAGCAGACATGTTGTATGCTCGAAAATGTGGTTTGCTGTTTTGAAGCATTTCCACGTTGACCAACATGGCCATCTGCATAGGAAATAATATCCAAAAGCTCGTTTTTCACATAGGAAATAATATCCAAAAGCTCGTTTTTTCGGTAAATGCTGTTTAGTTAAATCTTATTTTAAAGGGTTTGATATGAACGTCGACCAAACGGACAATTAGTAAACTTATCAATGAATACACCGAAAACTAGCGAAATGAAGAGAGGCTTTATTAACGATATTCAATAACTACGTATCTTGTCATTCCCACATATACAAAATATTTTGACTAAAGGCAAGTTCTCTTTGTATACAGAAAGTGGTTGCTTTAAGTTTTATACTTAACAAACTATTTAA